ACTACTACTACAACTACTACTACTACCCCACCACCACACCACCACCACCACCACCACCACTTATACTACTACTACTACTACTACTACTACTACTACTACTACTACTACTACTACTACTACTACTACTACTACTACTACTACTACTACTACTACTACTACTACTACTACTACTACTACTACTACTACTACTACTACTACTACTACTACTACAACCACTACTACTACTACTACTACTACTACTACTACTACTACTACTACCACTACTACTACTACTACCACCACTACTGAAGAAGAAGAGGAGGATGAGGAGGAGGAGGAGGGTGCAGCGAGGACGAGAGACGAGGGACGAGAAAGGCGAGGGAAGGAGGGAGGGAAGGCGGAAGCGAGGGAGAGAGGGAGGAGGAGTGCGGTGGGAGAGAACGAGAGAGGGAGGAGGAGGGCGCAGAGGCGAAGGGGGGGTGGGGTGCGAGGATGAGGAAGAGGAGGGGGAGGAGGAGGAGGAGGAGGAGGAGGAGGAGGAGGAGGAGGGGCAGGAGGAGGAGGAGGGGGAGGAGGAGAATATGGAGGAGGAGCATGAGGAGAAGGATGAAGAGGAGGCTGGAGGAGGTGGAGCAGCAGGAGGAGCAGCAGGAGAAGGAGGAGGAGGAGGAGGAGGAGAAGGATGGGTGGAGGAGGAGGAGGAGGCGGAGGAGGAGGAGGATGAGGAGGAGGAGATGGAGGAGGATAATGGGGAGTAGGAGGAGGAGCAGCAGCAGGAGGCGAAGGGGGAGGAGAAGGTGAAGAGAGGACGAGGGACGAGGAAAAAGAAGGGCGAGGGAGGGAGGGGAGACGGGATAATTGGAGAGAGGGAGGAGGGGGGGGGGGCAGGAGGAGGAGGGCGCAGAGAGGAAGGGGGGAGGAAGAGGAGGAGGCGGACGGGGAGGACGAGGAGGAGGAGGAGGAGGCGGCGGAGGAGGAAGAGAAGGGCTGGTGTAAACCCAAGAGCCATCTACGATGTTGGAATACACCCTCCCTTCAAGCTCCCTCTTCGTAGGCCCCTACAACGGGTCATTTCCATTGAGGGGTCTGCCTCGTTGGAAGACAACCGTTTGAAGACCTGGAAGGATGCCAAAACATTGTTCTCGGCCCCATCGCCACGGATCAACCTGACTGTTGCGTTTTGACGGTCCTGAACCGTGCCAGAATGCCATTCTTGGGATTTCATCACAGCGAATCAACGTAACTGTTGCACCTGCAAGGTCCTGAATCCTTGCAAAACATCATTTCTGGTACTTCGATGAGGCGAATCTGTGGAACTCATGCACATGTTTAAATATATATATATATATATAAATATATATATTATATATATATATAACGAATGTGCGCGGCGCGGAAGCGGGAGCCACATGTTGAAAAGAAACAGCCCTCATTCCGTGAAGCTCTTGCACATGAAACAAACAAATGTGCGCGGCGTTAAGACGAGAGCCGCACTTTGAAGACGGGTCGCCCTCAATCCGTGACGCTCTTGCAAATTTTGACAACGAATGTGCGCGGCGCTGAGGCGATAATCCACATTTTGAAAACTCCCCGCCCTCAATCCGTGAAACTCTTGCAAATGTTTAAAGCGACTGCGCCCGGCGCTAAGGCGAGAGCCACATTCTGAAATCCACCCGCCCTCCATTAGCAAAACTGTGGTCAGTTGTTCAGCTTCAAGGTCATACATGGAAGTCTCAGGCGAAACGCTGGGCCCGCCCCAACAACTGGCCTCGGGGTCCGACAGGGAGAAGACATTTATCAGGAAAAGGAATGGAGGAGGACGAGGCGGAGGAGGATGGGGATGAGGAGGAGGCGGAGGAGGACGAGGAGGAGGAGGAGGAGGAGGATGTGGAGGACATGCTAGGTGAGAGGGGTGAGGAGCACGCCCCGGGGCGCTGAGGCTTGGGGGGGAGGGGGGGGAGGGGGGAGGGGGGGCGCTCCCAGCGAAGGGACCACCGCGGGGAACAGCGCCCCGAAGGGCGCGCCGCGGCGCAGCACCAGCAGGCGCCCCGCAGCCTCAAGCGCGCTGGCCTGCTGCAGCAGCCCAGGGCCAGGGAGGTCGTGCCCCTGGAAGCTGTTTTCCTTCAGGCTCCAGCAAGCTCCAAGAGGTCCGGCGCTCCGAAAAAATATTGTGCGGCGAAATTTGTGCCATGTCGGAAGTGGTCCAGACCTCTCGCGACGCATCGGAAAAATTGGAATCGCCGATGTCTTGGAAATTTGCGTGCATGGAGGGGTCCAGGGGGTGGGTGGGGAGTCCGGGGAGGAGATCCAGACTTCGGGCAAGTCGGGGCTCGCTGGCACGCCTCTCCGGCCCAGCGCTGCTTGACAAGGAAGCAGAAGGGGAGGGCGGGGTTGGAGGCGACTGGGAGGTCTGAGCTGGTTGGGCCCCGAAGAAGTCTGTAAAGACAGAGGAGGTGAAACCAACTCCGCTCAAAATCGGTCCCCAGACCCTTCCCGGGGTCCGTCCTCTAACTGTCCCGGGGCACGAATACGGCCCCCGGGGACCGGAGATCGCCCAACCAAAGCATTCGCGAACCCAGAACCTCGAACCCTCCCTCCCTAGTCCTACTGGCTGGAACCAATGCAGGGCCAACTCAAACCCCCAGCCAACTCAGAGGGGAGGGGGGATGCCATGCAAGTATACTTGCCTGCGCCTCGTCACCTCTGGTGCACGGCTTTCGGGGGCCGCGGGGGGCCCAGAATCGAGCGCGCAGGCCCTGGAGCCACCCCTGTTTGAGCAGGGGCCAGACATGTTCGAATAACATGTCGTGCAGACCACGAAAGGCTGCTATTACATTCTTTAATGATGCTACAGGCAGGTCTCCAAACATCCGGCCGCGACAATTTTTCGATGCGGGGGCCCCAGAGGTCTGGACCACTTCCCTAGGCCCAGTTTTTCGTCCTGAATCGTTTTTGACGGTCCCGAATCCCAGCGAGGGCCCCTGGAAGCCAAAAACAGCCAACGCTGGTCGCTCACGCTTTTTCGGAGCGTCGAAGATCTAGGTTGCCGGAGCCTGGAGGCAAGCCTGGACGCTCCTCCACTGCCAGCCTTGCGCGCAGCCGAGAGCCTTGCATAACCAAAACGGTCTTCCCCACCCTGGAAGGCACCCGGGAAAGCCGTTGCTGGGGTGCACCTGGCCGGTGGGACCTTCGGGCTCCTCGTCACCGCTCCCGCCCGTCGGGGAGAGCGGCTTCCTCTTGCCGCCGAGGTGGAGAGGCGTACTTCGTCTCTGCACCTTCGGCCCTTCGGCCCAGCACTCCGCCACGCCCCGGCTCGACTTGCGCACAGCCAAGATCGGTGGCTCAAAGGTGGGGTCCTGAGGGATGGGGCCGTAGGGCTAGAAAGGGATCCAACAGTGGGCTCACACTGCTTGAAGCACCTCGTCCTTAGGACCCCACACCTCAGGACCCCACCTTTGAACCGCCGCCCAGAGCCCAGCAGAGGGGGGGGAGGCTTTCTCCAGAGGGAGGCTGCTTCTCAGAAGGCGCGGGCCCTGCATCTACAGATGAGGCCCGCGCCTCCCAAGAAGCAGCCTCCCTCTTTAAGAAGCCTTCCCCCCCTCCTCCCTGCCCCCCTCCGCGCATGGCCGAAAAAACGCCCTCCTGTCCGCCAGCCAAGACGATTACGGCAGGGCCGCGCCCCTCCTCGCCGCTGCGGCGCCGCGGCGCACAGCCCTCGCAAACCGCGGCGGCGACCTCCAGCATCCGCCGCTCGCCCACGGGCATGGAGGAGAATGTCATGGCCACGAGCTGGCGCCCATGTTTTCCCTGGCTGTTTTTTCGAAGCGCTGGGTTGCCTCCGAGCCCGCTCGGCATGGATCTGAGGTCTCGACTGGGTCTAGCCCAAGGAACACGGTGCAGGCTCGACTCGAACGCAAAAGCAGTGGATGGAGCTGGCGCTCATTGTGTGTTCCCCAAGCCCCTCGGGCCGTGGGACAAATCATGGCGGGCACTTCCTTCGCTGTGCTCGGCCGGTGTGGGCCCCTCCCGGGCCTCGGGACCACCCGGAAACGCCTCGCAGTGAAGAGCTGACTCTGGGGAATGGGTCGAGACCTTTGGGTCGTCGTCGTCGTCGTCGGTGTCGTCGTTGTCGTCGTCGTCGGCGTCGTCATCGTCGTCGTCGTTGTCATCGTCGTCATCGTCGTCGGCGTCCGCGTCGTCGTCGTCGTCATCGGTGTCGTCGTCGTCGTCGGCGTCGTCGAAGTCGTTGGAGACGTCGTCGGTGTCGTCGTAGTCGTTGTCGGCGGCGTCGTCGTCGTCGTCGTTGTCGACGTCATGAGAAATTCATAACGTCGGGGGTCTGGCTTACTCGCGACACTGCCCGTGACCGGCCCCGCCCCGCCCCTCCTCCTTCCCCTCGCCCTGGCCACGTCACGGCTCGCACCGGCGACCGGCGCAGTCTGGGAACTGGCCGTTCTTGTTTAGGCATTCCCGGGCGGCGCCACCGCGAATCGCGGCGTCGTGACCCACCCTCTCCGCCTCACCTGACTCGTATGGCGCTCTCAGGTCTAGGCCTTTTTGGCTAGCTGGGACTCGACTGACAATGGCAGCGGCATGCGAATGCAGCAAGCGCATGAGGGACACAGTATACTGCGTGCAACGCACACATGCAAACGGCGATCGCTCCACAACATCTCTGTATTAACTGCTTCTGCCCGGTCACGCCCGCTATCGCCGGGGATAAAAAACGGTCTCCTGGCGCCCCGCCCCGCGGGCGCGCTCGACGAAGCCCCGCAGCTCGTCGTCCAGCTGGCGGTCGCGTAGGCCCGCACGGAAGACACATTACAGATTATACTCGGACGTCCTCGCGCTGTGAAGACCTCGAAACGGAAGGTTGTTGCCCATTCTCGGGATCAAGGGGCCCTCGCTGGGCCACGGAATGGTCAGAAACAGTAACAAGGAAAGGAGGAGGAGGAGGAGGAGGGAGACCTGCGGCACCGCTTCTGATTCCTCAGGCTTCTCCTCCTCATCCTCATCCTTATCCTCTGTTCTCATCCTGCCCCGTCCTGCTGGCGATGAGGACCGATACCCACTTAGATACGGGACGCCGCCCCCGGGGCAAGCCTGTCATCCTGGGTCCTGATTCGACGGTGGGGCGGTCAGAACTGGCCTCTGCAGGCCACAGCGGAGGAGAAACAAGTCGCCACAATTCTTCTTCGAGACGCTGGGATCCAAGGGCCAAGGGGCCTCGGGAGGTCTCCGACGAAGGCCTCCGGAGGCCCACGAGGAGGCAGCCGCAGCATCGGGAGAGAAGGCATCACCACAGAGGCGGCAAGACCCCCACGAGGCCCCCAAGGCCGCGGGGGCGAGGGAGCGCCTCGTCTCGGACGAGGCGGAGGAAGATGAAGTCCGTGTACTGCAGGCCGGGCAGGCAGCGGAGCTGCTGGCCGGCCATGGCGACCTGTCGGGCGAGAGGTGGGCGGGGGGGGGGTGCTGCGCCCAGTGGCCTCTGGGAGAGGGGACGGGGAGGGGAGGGGGAGGCGGGCGGGGCTGGGGGGAGGGGGAGGAGGGGGGAAGGGGTCTGTGTGGCAGGAGAAGGGGAGCAGGAGGAAGAGGAGGAGAGGGAGGAGGAGAGGGAGGAGGAAGCAGAGGAGGCGGAGGAGGAGGAGGAGGAGGAGGAAGAGAAAGGCGGGGAGAGGAGGGATGCGGAGGGCGGGCAGGATGACGACGAGGGGAAGACGGATGAGGAAGGGAGGGAGGATGTGGAGAAATAGGAGGAAGGAGAAGCAGGAGGACGAGCAGATCAGCTCTTCCGAAGAAAAGGCTTCCCTTCTCCTTTAGGAGCGCATTCCCCCCCTCCCCTGCTCCCCCCGAGGTTCCCGAACGCCCGGTCGCGGCACCGGAGAGCCCGCTTGGGGTCCAGGAGGGCTCCACAAGATTGCCTCCAAGGTTGCGCAAGTTCACCGAATGATGCCCCCGATAGCCCCTGGCATGGCGGCATGGCCCCCAAGAGGCCCCAAGGCTGCTACAGCTTGGCTCCAGGGGGCCACGATATTCCCAGATCAGCCCCTGGAGGCCAACATCATGAAGACACATTGTGATGGCTCCCTTCTTACCTTCCGCTTCCGAGACGCCCCTGGGACCTCAAGATGGCCACATTGTGGCCGAAAAAGAAGGAGGGAGGGAAAGAGCACAGAGGGGGGGAGAAGGGAATGATGATCGGCACCCTCTTCCCTCCTCCTCCCAGACCTCTTCGATCGCTCGTGGGCATGGGACCGTGCAGTCGTGCAGTGGGAAGGCAGCAGTAATGCCAAGTGGAGTCTTATACCTGTGCACGTGTATACCAGGCTCAGCAGCTGCTGCAGATGACGGGCCAAGGCGTCGTGTGTTGGCGTGGTCGAGTGCAAAACGAAAACTTCTTCGTGAGATGTCCCGAGAGCTTAATGTTGCATCTTCGGGGGCCTTGTCTGTCCCGTCGCGCCCCTATCCGCGTCGAATCCGTGTCAGATCCATGCCAGACTCGTCGCATCTGCGTCGAATCCACGTCGAATCCGCGTCGAATCCGCGCCCATTCCGCGCCGAGTCAGCATCCAGCCCGTGTCGGGCACAAGAAAAAAAACCATACTAGGGAACGACAAGGCCCCCCGAAGATGCAACGTTCGAGAGCTATCGATCCCGTCAGGGGACCAGCGGTCCGTCGCGGAGCGCTCCCCGACCGCCCCGTCCCGACGTCGCTGGAGGCCTGGGCCATCCTCCTCCCCCTCCTCCTCCTCCTCCTCCTCATTCCCCGTATCCGTCGCCCCCTCCCCCTTCTTGAAAAGAGGCATCGCGACCTTTAACCCCGCCTTGCTGGGGCTCTCGAACAGTCAAGCGACTCGGGGCCCAACTCGCTAGGGGCTAAATGATGAAAGGGGCGTTCCGTCTCGATGGGGGCGCGTACGACAAATCTTTGCGACGCATCCCCGAGCCCACCCGTCTTCTGCAAGCGGGAAACTCAAGGAGTGGGGGCGAGAAACCGTCACATGGCTTATGTTGTTCCCATCCTACTAAGACCACATCCCAGAAATAATTTCGAGCACCCGGAAAAATGTCAAAAGAGTGTCGAAATAGTGTCGAATCAGTGTCGGACGAGTGTCTCCCAGGGTCCGACACGTGAAAACCTCGAGTTTGGGGGTATTTTCTGGCGCTCGAAATTCTTTCTGGTGATCAAGGCTACAGTAGGTTGGAACATCATAGCACATGGCATTTTCGAGGGGGGGGCGTCCTGCAACTTGCGATATTCTCATATGCCCGGCGCGGGTCCGGCGCGGAGCCGACGTGCCCTCGACGTGGGCCCGAAGTGGATTCTACCTGGGCTCCACACGGGTTCGCAACGGCTGGCTGACGCGATGGGACAAACAAGGCCGATCGAACACGCAATATCAACATCGCCTGTCATCTCACTCCCCCTCCGCCAAAAGCTGCACAGAACCAGCCTCGGACTTATCCCTAGCGCTAAGATTGGCAAACTGAGAGGAAAGGGCCATCTTAGGGATCCGTCCCCAGACTCTGAAGGAATCCTTAAGCTTGGCATCGGGATAAGGCGATGCCAATCATAATTAAGGATATGGGTATGTTCCAGGCTGGTAAACACAAAGAGGGGCCTGGTTGATCGGCGCGATCAGCGGCACGCGCTGCCGCCGGAGCTCCTCGAACTCGTGGCTGCCCAGGAGTATCCTGCGCCCGGGGGGCTCAGAGTCAGAGCTTGACCTAAATAGTGTTTGTTGTTTTCGTTTTGTCTTCGTCTTCGTTCGTTCTGTCATTGTTCTGCTGATGCTGCGCCAAACGAAATCAAAACGATAATTGCACACGAAATCGAACAAAAAACACAGTTTAACTCGAGTCCTGCTCGAAGTGCGCACGCTCCTGTGCACCAGCGCGAAGACTGCCCTGCGGCGGGGAGGAGCCCTGCGTAGGAGGAATCCCAGTCCCAGCTAGTACAGCACGCAGCGAAGCAGCAGCGAGGGCGCGCCTGGCCTGTCAAACTCCTCGTTCGAATGGCCGACGGTGTCGGCGGCGCGGGGGATCGCTGTTTCATTCGAGGAGCCAATTCCAAAGGACGCGAAAAGGAAAAAGGGGGGGGAAGGGAGGAAAGAAGGGAAGGCGGGCGAAAAACGGCGCGGCGGGCCTGCGGCCCGCTACCGCGCCAGCGGCGCCGCGTCCACCGCCAACTCGCCACCGCTCGGACGTCCACTCCCCGTGCTCAGGTTTCGCTTTCGTGCGTGTCCTTTTTCGCAAGATGACCCAACATTCTCCTCGATGGCCATCGCCAAAAATACACACGTCCGACCGATGCCACGCCAATCGTCTCCAACGCGCCAGGGCGCACGGCAAACCGCGCCCGCACAGCCGCCCTCCCGGGCTCGAATTGCGCACAACGCCGCGTGCCTGGCCCAGAGGCCCCAGCTCCTCAACCTGTGGGGCGCTGGAGCGTCCAGGCGCCCGGTGCGTCCGCCGAGTTCTCGGGTTCATCGGCCGCCCAAGCGACGTGGTATATACATCGAGCCCCTCCGAAGACCGCAGCCGCACGCTGGTTGCGGCGGCGTGTGTCGTAGGTCTTCACGAAAGCCAACAGCCCTCGGCGAGCCTCTGGCAGGGCGGGGCCAATGGCAAAACCAGGACCTGAGCATGGGTCCCCATTTCGGAAGAAGAAGAATCATAAGAAGAAGAACCAGAAGAAGCAAAATAAGAACAGGACACATACACATAGCAATACCATACAAATCAGACTGGTAAGACTGGTTTCACTAATACAAACAACACTATTAATACTGAGAAGAGAAAGGACAATGAAGGAAAAGAGGAACACCAGTACAAACGAATACTAACACATATTTTTTAATGATAAGAATACGCAATTCCACAGACACGCACATTGGACCCTGGCGCAAAAAACGCGCCAAGATCCGTCGCCAGAGGCGCGGCTTCCGCGAATTGAAGCCCGATGGTTGGCGCGCGGGTCTGGAGGATGTATAGGGCGCCGCGGCCGTATCACTGAACGCTCAGGAGCAATTTGTGTTCACCCGAGGCCTGTCCGGCAGACTTCCTCCGGCGTGGCAAAAAAAATGCGAAAACTGTTTGCCGACCTTCCTCCTCTGCGGGACCTCGCCCGGCACAACAACAGTCAAGAAACGACTCAGGGTGAATCGCCGCTCCGTCGGAAAAGATCCAGATCTCCGAAGATCCACATTCACACTGTGATTCAAACTCACGGTGTCGGAGGTCTAGGGAGGAAGGCAGAGGGGAAATATGGAAGATCTATGTGTCTTGCCTTGTTTGTTTTGGCCTCCTCGGGGCTTCTGGCCGCCGCGGGTGCCTGGTCAGAGCGCGCCCCATCCAGGAGATGTCGGGGCGTCGCCCCTGACCGGCAAATTTAAAACTCGGGGGCCAGGACAAGTAAAGCAAAACATGTTACAGCCAGGCATATGCCAAAAAGAACTGTCATCCAAGAAACCTGGGCCAGCTTCCCAAACGCTTCTCAAAACAAGCCTGGGCCAAACTTTGTCGTTGACGCTGGAAGGGCGAACGTGCTCAAGAACGCGGGCCAGCTTTCCGGCAAGTTGTGTAAGAAACGCTGGCACGTTTTCGGGAGGATGCTGCTTGAGCAGATGCTCGGCCGTAGTATCAGGTTTGTGCAGTTGATGGCCTTATCTGCTCAATGGGGCACCGAGCGCCCGAGCTGGCCGTGCGAGGAGCGCGCGGCCCACCTCCAAGGAGTAGGGTGCCCTGAGTGCCTGCGTGAATTCACGTGCGGTCGGCCCATACAGCCTCAGGCCGGAGCCCGAGAAGAGCGGCGGCCTACGCAGCCCGGAGCCGCCACAGCTGCCTGGCGCAAAGAGGTCGTGAGGGGCGGCACAGGGTTGAAGAACTTGAGCCCCCTGCACCACGGCAGGCGCAGGAGGGTGGCCGCCGCCTTTCGGGGGGGGGATGCGGGGGGAGGAGGAGGAGGAGCAGGAGCACCAAGGGGAGGAGCACGAGAGGGAAGATATGCATGAGGAGGAGGGGTAGGAGGAGGGGTAGGAGGAGGAGGAGGAGGAGGAGGAGGAGGAGGAGGAGGAGGAGGAGGAAGAGGAGGAGAAGGAGGAGGAGGAGGAGAAGGATGAGGAGAAAGAGGAGAAGAAGGGGGAGGAGCAGGATGAGGAGGAGGTGGAAGAGGAGGAGGAGCGATGACAATAAGCATGACCAGAACATGATGAGAGTATGGCATGATGACATTGGCAAAAGGATCCAGTCTGCGAACCAGTGGAACGCAAATTGAGTCCCGGCCATGGATATCACCGCCGCCCTCATCAGATAAGTAACCCTGCTGGGTCTGAAGCCTCCAGGGCTCATTCCTTCACGAACGCCCCCACCGTAGACACTCCAGTGGTGTGGATCGGCATCAACGGTGGATGCAGTACACCAAAACTGACGGAGCAGGGATGAAGGAAGAGGAAAATGAAGAGAGGAAGAGGCGCACAGACGACGATGCGTGAAGAGGAGGTGGTGAAAGGCCGAGGAGAACGATGATGCGAAGGGTGCGGGAGGCTGCATCCACGGTGGCTGCACCAGCAGGAGGTGGGAGGGCGAGGATGAGGGAGGAAGCGTGGGGACGAGGAGGATGACGGGGATGAGCACCCAAACGGGGTGGACTAACGACCACGGCGGACGCGGGAGGAGCCCCATGAGATCCCATAGCCCCCCCCCCTAAAGCCCCCCCAAACCTCTCTGAGCATCCCTTCTCCACACCCTCCTCGTCCTCGGTCGGCGGTCCCAGGTCTCTGGAACATGTGCAAAGGCAGCGGATGCTCCTCGCATCTCCCGACGATGGCGACAGCGACGACAAGAAGAAGCCCCCAACAGCGCCCTGCAACATCCTGACATCCTGCCCCCCCTTCCAATCCCTTCCTCGGCCAGTCGAACGATTGGGCACTGCCGATTTCAAAATTCGGCTGCGCACAACAAAGACCCCACACGAGAGTGACCTGTGGTGCGCGGCTTCAGTCTGCGGGTGCCAAATCGAATCGCACATGCCAGTGCTTGGGGGTCCCCTGTGAGCCAGCATCCATGGTCAAGCTGTCAAAAGAAGTCACTCTTGCGCATAGCCGATCACTACATGTACCACTCCTTCCTCCTCTCTTCTGATCCCTCCTCCTCCTCCTCCTCCTTGTTTGACGCTGCGCGGACTTACTGCAACAACATGGGGCGTGAATCCTCCTCCTCCTCCTCCTCCTCCTCCTTCTCCTCCTTGTCCGCCTCCTCCTCCTCTCCCGTCCTTCTGCTCCCCCTCAGACATCTGACGGCGTGATTTGGTCCCAACGTGCCACTCTAGAGGTCTGGGCCCCTTCCCAAGGACCTTTGTCGATCCCGGGTCCCGCTGAAGGCCCCGGGATGCAGACCATTTACACGAGACCATTTACACGAGCTCCGTCGTGCTTTCCACTACGAGAAGACGTCAGGGTCCTCCTCCTCCTCTTCGTCCGCCGCTCCCCCATCTTCCTCCCGCCACCCCTGAGGAACCTCCAAAGGAAAGGAGTGAGCACTCTTAGCACTGCGACCTCGCGACCTCACGACTCGCTCCCCACGCTCTCGAGGGGATAAGGTGCCCCTGGAGGGCCACGCGGGGGCTTCTTTCCCCAAGGCGTGGCCCGTCTTTGGGCCAGAGGGATCTCCAAGCGGAGCCGCTGGTAGGCGAACTTGCAGCGCTTGGCCAAACCAATTTCCATATTCGATTCTCTGATACGCAAGTCTCATTGGGCAAGACGTCGAACTACTGGCTCGTATGTGGTCTTGTCTTGTCTTGTCTTGCCTTGCCTTGCCTTGCCTTATCTTGCCGTGCCTTGTCGTGTCTTGCCTTGCCTCGTTCTCCTCCTCCCTCCTCTAGCCCCCCGCGGCGTCCTCCGCGGCGGCGGGCGCAGCCCGCGCGTGCGCCTGAGCCTGTGCAGGCTCTCCCCCTTCCCCAACTTGTCCATCAGCTGCCTCAGGGGGGTCCTCCTCCTCCTCCTCCTCCTCCTCTCCTCCTCCTCCTCCTCCTCCTCCGCTCCTCCTCCTAGCCTCCCTCCTCCTCCTCCTCCTCCTCCTCCTCCCGCTACTTACTTCCGCTCCTCCTCCTCCTCCTACTCCTTCTCCCTCGACTTCCTCCGCCCTTCTGCTCCCTCCTCCTCCTCTCCTCCTCCTCCTCCTCCTCCTCCTCCCTCCTCCACCTCCTCCTCCTCTTTTTTTGACGTTGCGCGGACTTATGGCAACAGAATGAGCGTGAATCCTCCTCCCCATCCTCCTCCTCCTCCTCCTTCTCCTCTTCCTCCTCCTCCTCCTCCTCCTCTTTCTCCTCCAACCCCTGGCAGGGCGGAGGGCTTCTGGCAATAGCCATTCTTCTGCCTCTGAGGACCCTGGCCAGGCCCTGGGGACATCGAAGAACAACTCGGGATGAACAGCCAGTCCTGGGGAAGGAAGTGCAACAAAGAGCACATCGTCAGACGTTTGGGATTGAGGCTTGAGGATCGAGGCTTCTGCGAGTCTTCGGCCTCCTGGGCCGCCGAAAGCTGCCAGGGGCCTCGGGGAACCTCTGGATACCTGCCGAGGCTTGCGTAAGACCTCTGGAGGCTTCACGCATGCATAAGACCTCCAGGCCGTGGGGGACCTCTGGAGGCATCATGCACGAGACACCCAGAGGTCGTTGACCTCGTCGATCTCGTCGTCTGCTTCGCCGCCGTCGTCGCCGCCGCTGTCGGGGTCTATGTAGTGGTCCTCCTGAGGCGGCCCAGAACGTGTGAGGACGTGTTTGGTTCGAGCAGGGGCCTTTGCATCTGATGTCCTGACCTTGTCCTAAGGTCCACCGAATGGCCCGAATCACAAATTTAACAGGATCCGTCGATTCGCCCGCGCGGGCCACTCTGGGCCATGACTCACCCCTTGCCGAGCGTGCTTCGGGCGGCGCCCTGGCATCGCGCCAGGAGAAACAGAAGGAGCAATCTCGGAACTCCAGGGATGCAGGAAAGCAAACAATATGAAACATAAACACGTCATCCTCATCCTCATCGCGGGTCGAGCACAAACGTCGCTCGATAAAGATGCTACGCTGCAGAGGATAGAATACACAGGGTAGGCGCCACTACCACCGATCACACCATCTGCGCATCTGCGTCTCCAATGCGACATGAAATAAAATAATTTCGAAAACTCATCGCGGACTCTCTTTTCAAGCGTCTGCTCCTCAGTTCACTCTGCCCTTGGCACACATCCCCTACCATGCGCAACAGCATATGAAGAATCACCCCTGGGGGCAAACTGTGCATCGAAAGGAGCAGGACAGGCGGACGGGCACATTGCTTGCAAAAAAGCTGGGCCAACCTGTGCACTGGACTGCGCTTGCATACTATGCAACCCTGACGCCCGTGAACCTGCAGGAGCACCCGAGAAAACGCTTCCCCGAAGCGCTTCAGAGACGGGGGGGAAGAGCCCCCACCCCAGGCGGAGGGCCGCTCAATTTCGATCCTCGGAAAGGCGTGCGTGCAAGCTGACACGCGGGATCGCCGGGCCCTCAGGGGGGGGTGAGGGGCAACGTACGTGGGGGAGGGGGGGGGGGGAGAAGCTCGAGAGGGGAAACGTCGACCTGACATCGGCGGCACGTCCCCGGAGAGATCGGCGACAGGCCACCGATAGAGCGAATCCGCACGTTGCTGGGCGGGGTGGGCTCTCGGCTATCGGGCCCCCGTCGGCGATGAGTGGGCCACTGGGGGGCCGACGCGTGCCCCCCCGGGGGCCCCTCCACCCCCGTCGTTGCCCCCTGGTTGTCGTGCCATAGCTCGGCTCCCCAGCGCCCGTTCGGGACGATTTGGGCGCCCCCGGAACGACCTCGTCGAGAGCTGCCGGAAGGCACCACGAGGCCGGAAGGCGTCCCAGAGAAGACCGCGCGGTGTGTACGTGCAGCCCCCCAGAAGCAGCGAGGCGCAGTTCGGAGAGGGCAAGACCTGAGCCACGGGGTGGCGACTCGAGCCCAAAACTGGTTGAACCAACAAGGCGGCAGAAGCAACCGGTGATTTGGATGATCTCTGGGATTGCTGAGGGGAAAGGGGGGTTAGAAGTGGATGCTGCGGTGGATTAGATTATATCTGGCCTTACCTAGAATATCAGTGGGTTGCACATCCCCTAAGGGGCTGAAGGAGGTGCTTGTCTGGTCTAAGTGGAGTTGGCGGTGCCCACTTCGTTACCGAATCGCCCTAATTGGACTACTTGGATGGAGGTTCTTGTAACCTACAACATAATATAAGCTACGCTAGGCTAGATAGAAACAATCTTAGCATCTACTTCTAACCACCCAATACACTTAACAACCCCAGCGGTGATCTTTGTAGACGTGTTGGAGAGTTGCAGGCCTGGCCTATCAATCAGGTGCCTTCGGGCGCATGGGGCGCCAAGAACCCAAACATCTCCAGGTCCTGGCCGATCTCAGATCTGGCCGCCGTGGGCCAAAACCCAACGGGCACGTGTGAGGAGCTCCGTGGCTTGAAACTTCCGAGTGTCGATCTGGCTCGAGGTATGATGCAAAGGGATTGGCGGATGCCTCCCACAGCGGGCCGGAGCAGATTGGGTCCGAGGATCGCGCCGCGTCGCCGACGCATCGGCGACGGCGGGATGGAGAAGAACGGGCTCCAAATCGTGCCGCATCGGCGATGCAGCGCGATCCTCCGACCAGACTGCGGCCCCGTTTGGGGGGCTTGAAAAAGAGGCGAGGGCTCCAATCGTGTTTTCTGCGGGCGCCGTGATCATCGGATTTCACGGATCGCATGGTAGCGTGGTTTTCCCAGGCCCCCAGCCCACTCCCCATGGGGCAATCTGTTTGAGCAACTTCTCCCCGTCAGATCCTGTTCTTCACGTTCGCGTGGCCCGGATGCCCAAACCCGTCCAGATTGGCTAGCCAGGATCTTCTTTTTCGAACGCCAGGATGCGTGGGCATTCAGCCACCATGCTACCATGAGGGACGCCAAGCAAGAAACGAAGGGGCTTTTCTGGCCACGGCGAGCCTAGGCCACGAACAGGTTTCCCGACCTTAACCCAAGGAGCGGGCCGAAAGCCAGAGCCCCTCCCGAATACAAATCAACGTCTCGACTGTGTGGCCCGGCTCAGCTACCAGCAAAAGTGACCCGATGTAAAAATGACCTGTGGTGCGCGGCTTGCCGTTGGTTGCACGCGGTGCGGCAATGGCGGCCTCCCCGCAAGGGGCATCGCGTTACTCTTTCGCCGCCCTTCGCCGGAGACAAGATGGCAGATCCCCAAGGTCAGAAACTTTTCTGGAACGCCATACGAAATCACAAATCCTGGCCAGTGGTCAGCCCTGGGCCCCCGCAATGGAATAGGTGAGCATGCGGCCCTTCACAAGCCAGGCCCAGCCGGGGGCAGGCGTCCACATCCTGGCCCCACCCGTCGCCGTGGCACGCGTGCGCTCGCGATCCTCAAAGGATCGAGGAGGGATGTCTTTGGGAGTGTTGGCAACAATGGGCTGCATGCTCTGGGGCCCTTTTTGCGGCCTTGGGCGGCCACCAGAGGCGTCCAGGGACATCTGGCGAATCAGGTTCTTGAGCGGGAGTTGAATCTACACGGAGCTCATTTGACCAGCGCTCGTCTTGTGCATCGTGCTTGCGTCCATGCGCTTCTGCACATGCCCACGTGCCCACAGCGCACCGCACGCGCAACCATGAGCGCCACGCCCACACGTCGCACACGCATACACACACCGCCGCTCCCCCCCACCCACACACACCCACGCAAACCCCCCACACACACACACACACACACACACACACACACACACACACACACACACACACACACGCCCGCACATGCCACGCCCATGAATGAAACACCCAGGATCGCAAGCCGAGGACATCCGCCTGCGCATGTCACCCGCGCATGCCGAGCACCCACAGAAGAAGCAGCTTGCGGCGTGCACCCCACCAACCCAACCCATCCCATCACACAGTGTCGGAGGGCTCGATAAGGAAAGTTGCCCGAGGGAGGCCGAGAAACAGGACGCGAGAGAACACCGAGACAAAAATGGCGTGCAAAGACACCGATAACCCGGACGCGCACAAGAACCAGGACGCGTCAGGAGACCAAGTGGCAGGGCTCGTAAAGACATCGAGCATCCAAAATGGGACCGAACCCTCCTCTACCTCCCTCCTCCTCATCGTCAGAGTCCCGGGCATGCTGGGCACATGCAGGCACACTCTTCAGACAGGAGAAGGGAGGGAGAGGACTATAAAGAGGAGGAGGAGGAGGAGGAGGGAGGAGGAGGGCGGAGGAGGGGGAGGAGGGAGAGGGAGGAAGAGATGGATGAGGAGAAAGGGGGGAAGAGGAGCATGGGCATAGGGGGGCTATATCTCTTCACATGTCCGCTCACCCACAACAAAAAAAACAGAGATAGACCTGAAGGGGAACTCGCGTGAAAAACTCGGCGAGCTGACCCCCCGCATATGCAACGCGCATGTGCACATGTCAACCAAACATTGCGCTCCAGTTGGGAAGATACAGCATTCAAACATTGGCACATCATGCTGCGCACACGACGGGACGGGAAAACCCGCACAGATCCTGGAACGGAACTGTGAAGTTGAGCCTTACTGGCGGCCCCGAGGATGGACGTCATGAGCGGGGGCGGACAATCGGCCAGAGGGCAAGAAGAGTGGCCTTCTCCTTCTTCCTCGCTCCCATCCTCCTCCGCCGACTTTCTCCTTCCTGCTCCCTCCTCCGTTCCTGCTGCTTTTCGCTCAGATGCCCCAAAAATACACCTGAAGCGGCGCAAAAATGACACCACATTGCCATCCTGGTACCTTGAGAGCCGAGGAAGAAGGCACAACTACCAAGCAACTGGGAACGCTCACGGCGGTATACCCACGTGCGGGGACATCCAAAGGCCGCGAACCAAATACGCAATGAACGTGCCGAGCGCAGGAGAGACATGCAAACACACGTGCACGCGTGTCTCGCCGTGGCCGGCCACATCGAGCGCGTCCAGCTCCCTGGTGTGTTGCAGCCCCCCCCATCAGTTGCAACCCATCCCGCATCCACCCAGCAGCCGCCTGAGGAAGTCGTTGAAATCTGGCCCGTCGAGGATCTTCCGGATCGGCGATAGCAGCTCGTCGACGACCGTCAGAACCTGCCACGACTGGATAACGCTCGAGAGGGATGAGATGGAGGATGACGACGAGGAGGAGGAGGAGAAAGGGGAGGGGGAGGGAGAGGGGGAGGAAGAGGAGGAGGAGGAGGAGGAGGTGGAGGAGGAGCAGGAGGAGGAGGAAGAGGAGGAAGAGGAGGGGGGGGGAGGAGGGGAGGAGGAGGAGGAGGAGGAGGAGGAGGAGGAGGAGGAGGAGGAGGAGGAGGAGGAGGAGGAGGAGGAGGAGGAGGAGGAAAAGGCGGAGGATGGCCTGCCGCGATTGGATCTCTCGGGTCGGTTGCAGAATGAAGCCCACGATCGGTATCCTCAACGACTCGGACAGGATCATCGCGATGTGCATCAGCGTGAAACCGAAGACGATGAAGTCGGGCTCCTCCTCACATGCCCAATGGTGGAAGCAGCCCTCGCTCGGGAAGAACTCAACCTCGCGAGAAGCCCAAACGGGGGTCCCCGAACCGACTCCCGACCGACGGGGAGCCCTCTTCTCCGACGGAGCACTTTTCGCGACACGGGCCCCCGAGGATCTCGACCCCGCCCCCAAGGCTGGCTTCTGGTCCTGCATCGTGTGTTGTTGTCGCCCTGGGGCCGGGAGCGGCGTCCAGGGGCCGAAGACGTTCAAACACAGGCCGTCGCGATCTGTGCTCGTCGCCTGGATCTGCGGGAGGGGGGGGGGAGGCAGAACACAACTTCCGAGGAGGGCAGCGGAGCGAACGTCCAGCAACGCCCACAAGAGCTCCGAGAGGACAGCTCCAATCACGAGAGACGAACACATCCATGTCCATGCACTGGCAATCTGGATAGCGAGGCGCGATCCCATGGATGCGCTCCACCCGGGGCATCCGCGCAGCGCCGCCCGGTGATGGGGTCGCGGCCCAGGACTCTGGACCGCGAGGGCGTGGGCATGGATACCATCGCAGCCTGGCCGCAGCGGCGCGAGCAAACAGCATGAGCCCCCTCGCAGAAGGTCGAGTGACCCATGGAGACACTCCAGAATGGAGGAGGAGGAGGAGGAGGAGGAGGAGGAGGAGGAGGAGGAGGAGGGGAGAGGGGGAGGAGGAGGAGGGAGGAGGAGGAGGAGGAGGAGGAGGAGGAGGAGGAGGAGGAGGAGGAGGAGGAGGAGGAGGATGAGGGGGAGGAGGAGGAGGAGGAGGAGGAGGAGGAGGAGGAGGAGGAGGAGGAGGAAAAAGGAGGAGAAGGAGGAGGAGGAGGAGTGTCCAGGGTGCAGGGCCCAACCACGAAGCACGTAAAAGGGCCACCATCCAACAAAAGCGCGGCCACCACCCACCATGGAAAAACTCGGATTGCACTAGGAAGTGCATCGCACTGGGCCGCACCGGCACGGAGCCGCAATCCACTCGGATCGGCCACGCCAAGGTGCACCGCAGCGCCCATTATGCAAGCACCGGGCCGCCTCGGATCGCCGAAGAAACGGCAAACGAAACGGACCGAGCCGGCCAGAGTCGACATCGAATCGCTAGAGGCCTCCGAGATGGGGTCCGAGTAGATGGGGTCCAAGCAGATCGAGCCGCATCGCGGATACATCGATGATGCATCGCCGATGCATCACCGATGCGTCGGCGACGTCCGCGTGAGGGAAATCAGGCTCCGCGTCGAGCCGCATCGTCGATGCATCGGCGATGCGGCGCGATCCTCCGACCCCATCTACTCCGACACATTCTAGGAGGCCTGGGTAATCACATCCACCACACCGAAACTCCTGGCCTCCCGGGCCGAGAGGCTTCTCGCGGGGTGAGCCAGCGGAGGTCCGAGACGGTTCCCTGGGCACGGCTCCTCGCCCCGAGAGTCATTGCCAGACGGTCGCGAGCGGGGCCCGGCACCGGGCCCTCGGAGGCCGAAGGCCGCCATCAACAACGGACGACACACCTTCCGCCGTTCAGATCGGTTCGCGAGGGGAAGGTCGGCTGCACGCAAGAGAGACCCTGGGTAGAAGGGATGTTTGGTGCGCGGCTTTCTGGGGACCAGGGGGGGGGGCCAAACACGAGCACGCAAGGCGTTACTCCTCATCGCTTCGCGGCGGTCGGGGACCCCAGTGGGCCCGCACCAAAGGTCACTCCGGCGACGGGTCACTCTTACGTCTGGTCGCGAAGAGGTCTCGGCTGGCTTTGGTGCGCTTCTTCCCGCCCAAGCGGTCGGCCCCCTTGGGCCGCGGAGGTCTCGGCTGGCCTCGGTGCTTCTGCTCGCCCAAGCGGTCGGCCCCCTTGGGCCGTGGATCAGGGGGACAAGACCGCCTGCAGCGCGTCCCCAGGCCCGCCTGACCGGCCAAAACGCCTCAACGAGATCGTCGATCCTCGACCCTCGAGCTTCAATCCTCCGAGATCGTCGATCCTCGAGGACGCCAAACCTGTCAGATCCTCGGTTCTCGACCCTCGGGAGGAGCTGGCGACCCCCCCGAGTGGTGGGCCCCTCCTTGCCCCCCCCCACGGATCCAACAGTCGTGAAGGTCCACCTCCCTCCTCCTGCCCCCCCCCCTCCTCGGATCGTTCTCCTCATTCCTGGGAGAGGGGAGGGGGAGAAGAGTCAAACATTTGTGAAGGTCCATCCCCTTCCTCCTCCCCCTCCCTCCTCAGATTGTCCTCCTCGTTTCTGAAAGGAGAGAGGGGGAGAAGAATCGAACATTTGTGCATTCCCCCTCCCTCCTCTGATTGCCCTCCTCATTTCTGGAAGGGGGGAAGGGGATGAGCCAGGTGCATCCGTACAGTTACTCCCCCTTACGGTCAGGAACTTTTGGTCAGCGTGTCGCGGCCGCGGCCCATGTGACACGCTATGCCTCGCGAGTGGACAATGTGTCGCTCCGCTCCGCGGAACGGGAGGCTGGAAACAGCTAGGGACGTTGAAGCTTGGGGACACGGGTCAGGACACCGTGTCACGCCGAAGCCTGGTGGGCGAACACCGGCGGCGCGACACGCTAAGTCAAAGCTCCTGACCGTACATCCGACGATCTGATGTGCCCTCCTTCTGCGGCCCCAGGCCCAAGTGGGAGGGATCGGGAGCTATGCGCAGAGCTGCAGACCACTTCCCCTGGCGTAGTTTTCAATCCTGGGTGCATGCTTGATGGCCTCAGGGCCCGACAACGGGCTCCGCGGGGGGGCGGTCGAGAAAAAACGCCAGGACGGAAAAACAACAGATCGCCAGACCTCTGGGCTCCTGTGATTGGAGGCTGCTCTCCTTTCTCTCGCAAGTTTGCTTGCATGGTGGGGGGGGGCGTGGCGAAACCCGAATGGATATCTGGAATTGACGCCAGTCGGTACTCACTTGCTCGCCGGCCAGCGCTCTTTCAAAAGGCGGCGGAGGGGGGATGGGGAAGGGCGAACTAATTTCCCCCAACAAGGACACAACCCGATGATGCAAGCCTGCCCTCCCTGAGCTTCTCCCATGCAGCGTGCGGCAGAACCGACGTGAAACGCAGGAACAGACAGAAACCACAGGAGAACGAGTAGAACAAGTAAAGAGGGCGTGCACGTGGAGCCCAGGGGCGAATTGGGGGCGGGGGGCGGAAATGCCATGCAAGTAACGCCCTCTTGCCCGATTATTGCCAGACCAAAGATCTGACGTCACGGAACAAAAATACACCACCGTCGGAAAACTCGACCACAAGCCTGGACCCCATCTGTTTGCCGCACCTCCCGAAGCGGAGCGATCCGTGAGGGCCCGGAGGGGCCCGAAGCGGGGCAAACTCGCCCGTCGTGAAAGACGCGCGGCGCCAGGATCTCAGGCTCCTCCGACCGCCCGGCTCCTGCCCGAGAGGTCGGTCCACCCGCGGGGCGCCGCTCGTGAGCGGCAGGCGTGTCCACATACGTACACCCTCGCGGTCTGGACTCCCGGGCGCGATCCCGTGGATGCGCAGTCGCATGGATCCGCTCCGCGCGGGGCATCCGCGAACCAAGTCCCCACATCCAGGGGATCGCGCCCCGGGGCCCAGGCCGCGAGGGGGTGGACGCGGATATGTTTCCCTCCCGCGAGCCTCGGAGCGGGAGAACATGACCGCCTGCAGCGCGTCGGAGTGCTGCCCCTGCTGCAGGGCCCAC